GTCGGGTCTGGGATGGTGGGTCTCAGCGCGCGGGGCGGCGGGGGCGGCGGCGGCGGCGGCGATCTAAGCTATGAGCTCCCGACGCACGCCGAGGAGCCTCTCGCTCTGCCAAGCCGCCGGCTCGCTAGCTCCACGGAGCAGGCGCCGCGGAGGGAGGAGCGTGCCCTCTACGGCGTGCGCACGCAGCCAATCGGCAGCCACGCAGCCGTCTGTCCGAAAGTTTGGCGACGCCTCGGCGCAAGCGCCTTCCTCTGAGCGGAAGTGACGAAAAGCTTCGATCAGGCGCTAGGTAGGGTGAGCGAGAAGGGACAAGCGCGGCGCGGAGGGGATCTGACCTCGAGGAGGCGCTGTGGAGACTGAGGAAAGCCGAGGGTTGACGTTGCCGAGTGAGCCGTGGCTCGTCCCCTTGAGCGACGAGTAGAAGTGGCCTTGCTGCCTGCGCACCTTCAGAGCCAGGTCCTTGGTCCCCTGGAGCCCCAGGCTGCCCCGCTGGAGTTAGCGACAGTGCATTCTGCCCTAAACCTACAAGTTACTGAAGACTTTGTTCACGATGGTAACTCATCCACCGTCACGACTATGGAAAAATAAAGTTACCTCGCCTGGCGATGGCTCGAGTCTATCTACCATCTGGAGAATGGTGAGTCCCAGGCCACATCAACCTGGGCTACATAGCAGGGCCTGTCTGAAAAGGGGGAAAAATTTATATAACTTATCAACTCAGCTTGCCGAGCATGCTCTTCTGACAAACGTGAGGCTAAGATCCCAAGAGAAGAAAAAAAAAATGATTTTCTAAGGATAAGGCAAGTTGGAACCAGTAAAGAACTTCGGCAGGGGAAACAGAAAAGTAGTAGGTGTCAGGATACGTATTGCGCTCTCACTGTTTGTTGTTCCCGTTTCAGAGTATGTTTTGGACGGCCGGTAGCTGCTGCACCCCTGCGAACTTGTACAGAGGTACACATTCTAGGGTATCCCATGCCGTGGCAGCCCAGGCAGGAGTTTTAGGCTGGCCTGGCTACCCTGCAAGATCCTGTGTCACAGCTAGCATGGGCTACCTAGCAAGGGTAGCCTGGCATACAAGTGAAGGATTCTGTCTCAGATGAATAAAAACAATCCTCACCCTCCAGATGGTGCCACACACAGTTGTGTTAATATTAAGCCAGTAGATCAAGGAACATCACTTTTACGCAGCAAGTTTATAGAGGCAAAGTAGCCTGGATTCACTGGTTGTCACTGTGCCATCTCTCCAATTCCTTCTGTGTGTGTGTTTGTGTGTTTTATAGATAGGCTTTCACTATGTAGCCCTTAGCAGGTCTGGAAATTGCTTTGCAGACTAAGCTAGCCTGAAACTCACAGAAATCCACCTGCCTCTGACTCCCCAAGGTACTGAGATTAAAAGCATGCCTCACCATCCCAACCTATGTATACTCTTAAAAGTTTATTTTGCCATGTGTGCTGGCACACGACTTTAATCCCAGTACTTGTGAGGCAGAAGCAGGTGAATCTCTGTGAGTTCAAGGCCAGCCTGATCTACATAATATGTGAGACAAAGTTTCATGTAGTCCATACTTCAAATTCACTATAGCTGAGGCTAGCCTTGAACTCTTGATCCTCTTGCCTGCACGTCCTCGATGTAAGTATTACAGGATTATACCACCACACCTAGCCCTAAACTCCTGCAAATAGCTTTTACAGGAGGGAAAAAAAATCTACCAACTCTTTGTGTTATAGACTGTGAAGTCCAATTTTAATTCTTAGATTTAACAGATTTTATTTTTATGTAAGAATTTTACATAAGAATCTGGGACATTTTTGAAGGTTTGTGGTCAGAAGGATCTGCCATGTAGCTCAAGGTGACCAGCAAATTAGAGGTTAAGTAAAGTGCTGGAAACCTGATCTGTGCTTCAGGTTTTTGGACAAAGACTAGCTGGCAGCCCTGGTAAGCCCTAGCCTAGAAGGTATGTGAGTCATGTGTGAGACTGACTGGTTCCCTTTCTGAATTCTCTCCAGGCTTTCTTATCTTAGGAAGTGAGGGATCTGGCTGAATCCCAGGGCATCCATCTGGTTAAAATAAACATCTTGGGTGGTCTAAGATGGAAAAGAACCGATGAAGTCAGGTTTGGGGATGGGAGACAGATTTGGAAGCAGAGCACAATTTGTCTTCGTAAGGTGTAGGATTTTTAGCATGTCAAACACATGGTCTCAACCGTGACTGTTTCCTTTCCACTGAATAGAATGCCTGTGTGCCTGGCGGCTGCTTGCAGTGAGGTTGGAGAGGAAGGTATGCTCAGCTGGCCTGATACACACTGACGGATCACAGAAACCTGGCGTACTGTGGGGAAAGCGACTGCCCATGCTATGGTGAAGACAGGGAAGTCCAGGTGTACTTGTGTATAGCGTACAGTTTTGGCTCAATCTATGATGTGGAGCCCAAGTGTACCACCCGATTCTGTGGTACCCTTCTCAGTACGGGTCGCGCGCCTTCCGTACCTTACACGAATTTGGGCAAAGGCCTGGAGATTGAACAAAAGACACACAAGAGATCTGGGTCATTCGACAAGAGACCACCAAATGCCACTTTATTTAGCCGAATGCAAGGCTAATATACCTTGGCCCCAGTAAGGGAACTCCCTCCCAACCAGAGGGGAAACTGGCGCCACATGGGACCTGGCCCTGTAGGGAATTCCTTCCCAGGCAGGGGGTGGACAGCAGCGAGAGAGACCTTGGCAGGTGGGAAATTACCATACCAAAGATGGACTGTGCCCTGTAGCTAAATCACCAGGCTAGCAGAGTGAGCACAAGAATTAGTAGGAAGCTTTAGCTGGCTGACCAGAACTGTCCTCAGAGACGCACCCCAGGGAGTAAGGGGAGACAGGGCCCAACACCCAAGGGTGAGAGGGTAGTGATTTAAGTGACAATCCCAGGAAGGTGGCCTTCAGGTCATTATAGACTGCTGAGGGCTAAGAAGTCAGAAAGTTCAGAGAGGATCCATTTATCATCTGTCTGTCTATCCATCTATTTGGTTTTTTGAGACAGTCTAAGTAGCCTTGGCTGTCACAGAACTCACTCTGGAGACCAGGCTGGCCTTGAATTTAGAGATCCTCCCTTCCCTGCCTCCTGAGCACTTAGATTAAAGGCATTTGCCACCACTGCCCAGCTTTATTATTTTTAAAAATTTATTTATTTTTTAAATTTTATGATTTATTTATCTTTTATTTTATGTGCATTGGTGTGAAGGTGTCAGATCCCCTGGAACTGGATTTTCAGACAGTTGTGAGCTGCCATGTGGGTGCTGGAAATTGAACCTGGGTCCTCTGGAGGAGCAGTCAGTGCTCTTAACCGCTGAGCTATTTCCCCAGCCCCTATTTTTTTTTAAATTTATTCTTATTTTTATGTGCATTAGTGTTTTGTCTGCACGTATGTCTGTGTGAGGGTGTCAGTTCCCTGGAACTGGAGTTACACACAGGTTACCATGTGGGTGCTGGGAAGTGAACCCCGGACTCTGGAAGAGCAGTCAGTATTCTTTAATTGCTAAGCCATCTCTCCAGCCCCCAAGATCTTTTTGTTGTTTTTTGAGACAGGGTTTCTCTGTGTAGCCTTGACTGTCCTGGAACTCAATCTGCAGACCAGGGTGGCCTTGAACTCACAGAGATCTGCCTGCCTCTGCTTCCCAAGTGCTGGGATTAAAGTTTGTCAACACTACCTGGAAAATCTTTTTTCTTTATCTTGTAACTGCTAAGATTGGAGGCTGGGTTATAACATATACTTAGCAGGTGGGAAATCTCTCTCTCAACACACAGTAAAAGACCAATGTAGTATCTTGGGAGACTGAGGCAGAAGGACCCTGAGTTTGAGGCTAGCCTGAGCTACATAGTGAGATTAAAAACAAAACAGTAGCCTCCAACTTGGGTATATAGCTGAAGATGACTTTCTGCTTTTAAAGTTACAGGGGGGACACACGTGCCACAGTACATGAGAGCAAAGGACAATTTGTAGTCAGGTCTTTTTCTCACACAGACCCCTGGAATTGAACCGGGGTGATTGAGCTTTGCAGCAAGCACCTTTACACACTCAGGCAAGTCACAGGCTGAAATTTTGATTGTCAACTCTACAAGAGTTCTGGGATTACAGCCATGAGCTGCCACGCCTGGACTGTCGCCAGAGCGTCATGAATGCCAGGCAGGTCCTCTGCCAGCTGGGCTACATCTGTAGCTCCCAGCAGTTTGGTTTTAGTTCTGTGAAAAGTATTTACAGAAGTCATTTCTCCTCACCAGGTGGGTCCGCTCCCCGCACCGCCCCTCTTCAGGGCGATCAGCCCCATTTTCATCACTGTGGCCAATGTCCTCGAGAAATAATTTAAAGGATGAAGGTTCACGTTGGCTTGGGCCTGACTAGAGGTTTAAGGGGGAGCAAAGGTGTTTACTGTACTCTAGCATGGAAGGGAAAGGAAAACAGGAAAAGGATGGGGCCACGGTATGGACTCTGCCAGGGCAGGCCCATCCAGGGACCTACTTAGTTCCCGCTCTTAGTTCCCACTCCCCTATGCCACTAAATTATAAAAACACCCATCAACTAATCAATTATAGCTTTCATGATATGGGAAAAAAAAGCCCCTTCCCAAAAGCCCACCAGGTTCCAGCAGCTTTTAACTGAAGGGCCTTCAGGGGACACTTCAGGTCCAAACCACAACAGGGGAACATTACTCTTCAGATGCCATAGCATCCTGCTATGTAGCCCAGGCTAGCCTCGGAGTCACTGATCTTCCAGCCTCTACTCCTAGAGTACTGGAACTGTATTATGCCCAGCAAAAACAAATCTCTTTTGAGGTTTACCTCTTCCTCTTGGGCCTCAGTATCTAGTTTGGGGGTGATAACAGGCCCTGGTGAATACTGGGGTTCAGTTCTTTAACCTTGAATACAGGAGGATCAAGAATTCAAGGCCAAACTGTTCACCCAGGAGAGTCTATCACAAAAAAACAAAATCACACAAACAAAAACCCACGGCTGGGGATATGGCCCAGCAGTTAGGAACACTTGTTGCTCTTGCCAAGGACTTGAGTTTGGTCCCCAGCACCCATATGGTGATGGAAAACCATCTTCAATTTCTGTAACTATAATTCTAGGGCACTCAACACCCTCTTCTAACCTCTGGGGCACACATATGCAAGCAAAACACTCTTACACATGAAATGAATCTAAAACATCTTTTTAAAACAAAACAAAAAATAACAACAAAAAAATAACCCAACCAGCCAGTAGATTAGATTGTAGAAGTTCGTAGCCCACACTGATGTTAAAGATAGCTGGATGCCTGGCAGTGGTTAGCCACTCACCACTACAGGAACTGTCTGGATATCTCTCAGTGACCCTGAAGCAAGAGACTTAAGATAATCACTGCAGAGGCCCAGGCACCCAGCAGAGCTGTTTACTACTCTTGTTGGCTTTTATACTTTACAGCACAATTATAATTTTGATGTGGCAAAATGCACCCAATGCTGGTGGAACAAGTGGGAATTTACAGACTGACACAGAGGGAAGTGGAAGTCATCCTGACTTCAGCTGGGGCTGAAGCAGATGTGGTCAGATCTTACACATGCTTTTTTGTGTGCGTTATCAAATTGTAATATGCTTTTCCTCGCTCGGGAACAAATCCGCCAGCTCCCAAGTCCACTTGTCACTTAGCAAACCCAGTGTTTACCTGTGATCAGAAGGGAATGCACAAACCTAGGTGGTCAGAGGAAGAGTGGATGAAGTAGAGTAAAGACGTAGTAGTGGTTGGTCGGAGGCAGAGGCAAGGTGGATCTCTGAGTTTGAGGCCAGCCTGGTCTACAGAACAAGTTTTAGGATAGCAAGGGCTACACACAGAGAAACCCTGTCTCGAAAAAACAACAAAAACCTTAGTGACTGCTCTGTCTCAAAAGCACAGTGGGTCCGGTCAAGAATTCAGTTTGGCGCTGGAGAGATGGCTCAGTGGTCAAGAGCACTGGCTGCACTTGCAGAGGGCCCGGGTACAATTCCCCCCATCCATAAGGCTACTCACAACTGTAACTTCTGTTCAGGGCATCCAACTCTTCACACAGATATAAGATGCAAGCAAAATACCAATGTTCATAAAATAAA